TGTGTGTGTGTGTGTGTGTGTGTGTGTGTGTCCTGAGGCCTCTCTGGGTGTTTCCCAGCATGCACTTGGGCGAGTTAAACAGAGTTTCAGTCTGAACCAACACACAGCAGGAGGGAGGGAGGGTCGAGCGAGCATGACCAGACAGGAGAGAGAGAGAGAGATGAATAGTGTTTTGTATAAGAGTAACGTGTGGCTGTAAAAAAAAAAAAAATCTCTTCATAAACGATACTGAACCATAAAACTGACAGAGAGAGTGCCACCTACAGGCTGCAGAGATCACTGTAGCCACAGAACGAAAACCCTGTGAATGTGTGATAGAATAATAAAGTTTTATTTGCTCTAGGGGGGGGGTTCCAGGAAAAAGACCTGCACACAATTTAAAAAACTTAAAGTCAACCAATCAGAGCCAGGAACAGTCACATGATAAACCTGAGACGTGACCTGGGGAAATCAGATCGGTCCTGACTCATCAGGAACAGGAAGTGATCAATAAAATCTCTCTGGTTTAAACGTTCATGACGCAGAGCATCGGACCCAGAATCAAACCCTGCGGTTCATCACATCATGAAGGTTCATCCTCTGGAGAGAAGGAATAGAACATTTCCACCATCATAAAAAACCAAACAACCCACCGGAGGTTTGAGTCCTTTCACTGCGTTGCCGTGGATACGGGTGTGTTGCCATGGCGACATTACTACAGGCAACTACAGTTTGACCGTGAGATGAAAAGTGTGAAGCAGCAAAATATTTTATTAATAACATGAGAGAGAAACGACTCCGAGCGTCTTTACACGTTTTCACGGTTCTGATGATCTGATCATCGGGTTCAGATCAGATCAGCGTCTCCATGGAAACATGATATTAATCATCATAGAACGTCTGATCAGTCGTAACGATTCTGAAGGTTGGACCTCAGGCATCACTGAGCCACCAGGGGTCCCACACGTGCTCAGTGGTCTGCCGACTATGTGCCGACACTGAGCCGGATCATGTTTACAACAGTTTTTAATCTCTCTCTCTCTCTCTCTCTCTCTCTCTCAGATATTGAGGAGCTGCCATGTTGGCCTCCTCCATCCCTCCGTCCCTCCTCTTCCTCCCCTTCCTCCTCTTCCTCCCCACCCCTCCAACCGTCTCTGCTGATGTCCTCGTGACCTCTGACCCCTCAATATTAGCAGTGAAGCTGGACGGCCCCCCCCTCTCTCACCTGCTGCTGGACTCGGGGGCAGGGCGTCTGTACGTAGGCGGGGTCGATCACCTGTACCAGCTGACGTCGGACCTGGAGGTGATGTCACATGTTCGAACCGGCCCTCACCAGGACTCCCCCGACTGCCTCCCCCCGATCATTCCCCAGGAATGCCCCTCGGCCACGTCCACTCACAACCACAACAAACTGCTGCTGATGGAGAAGGGACAGGGGGCGGAGCCTGGGAGTCTGATTGTCTGTGGTTCTCTCTATCAGGGCATCTGTGACAAAAGGTAATAATCAGGATGTCGTCAGTTTACTGAGGTTCGACGTCAGAGTTCTAAGTACAATCAATGAGAAGCCGACCAGTTGTCTTTCTGTGTCGTAACTGTATTTTTTGATGATGATAATGATGATGTCATCAGCGGCTCCTGACTCACGTCTCCTCTCTGTCCTCAGGAGTTTGCACAACATCTCTCAGATCATCTATCGGACGTCCAACCCTGTCGACACTCAGTACGTCGCTGCCAACGACCCCCGGGTCTCCACCGTTGCTGTGGTAATAACTGTAGAGAACAAACAGGAAGTCAGCGGAATGCTGAGTCTGATGCTGGTCGGTCGCGGCTACACCAGTAAAGGTCCTGGTGACATTCCACCAATCACGACGCGGCGTCTGTTCCCAGTGGTCCCACCTCGCCGGGCGTTCTCGCAGGAGGAGGAGCTGGGGAAACTTGTTGTTGGAAGTTACTCAGAGTACAACAACCACTTTGTTAAGGCAGTCGCCCATGGTGACCACGTCTACTTCCTGTTCTCGAGGCGAGACATGTGGCACAAAAAGGAGTACCGGACCTACGCCTCTCGGCTCTGCGCCTCTGACCGCAGCTTCTACTCGTACGTGGAGGTGCCGCTTCTTTGCCACGGTGGTTACAACCTGGCTCAGGCAGCGTGGTTAGGAAACCACTCAGGTGAACCCACCCTGTTTGTCATCATGGCAGCGGGGCAGGCGTCCACACCTGTAGCAACAGGACGTTCAGCGCTGTGTGTGTATGGGATGGCAGAGCTGGATGCCATGCTGCAGCAAGCACAGGAAGTGTGTTACACTGAGGGAGGACGAGGGGGCAGTGGACAGGAAGAGGCCTACATCGAGTACGCTGTGTCTTCGAAATGTCTCAAACTGCCGAAGGTAAACACAAACTTCAGTTTTGAGCTTCTCTCTTTCTGTCGGATCAGAGCGGACGCCGCCGTCACCTCAAAGTGTCCGTCAGACAGGAAACCAGTAATTTGAAGATGTCCGTCACTAATCACCTGACAATCGAACACAAGAGCTCAGGTTCTGTTCCCAACATGCACTGGGTGAAGGACGAGTTCACACCGTGTGACGTCTCTGAATCAATACACTTAGAAAAGTGCTCCACAAATACAGACCATCCTCCATTTGATTATTTTAACAGATGATTAACTAATAATTTATCAATAATTTATAAACCAATGAGACTGCTTGATTGTTCAGCTGATGACATCACTGATTTAATATGATGATGTCACACAGGAGCAGCTCGTTTGGAAAGAAGCCGCCATTAGTCAACATCAGTCTCACTGCTGACCCTAATACGGTGTGTGTGTGTGTGTGTGTGTGTGTGTGTGTGTGTGTGTGTGTGTGTGTGTGTGTGTGTGTGGATTAACGTTATCTTCAGCAGCTGGATTTATGGTCAGACAGCTGTCACTCAGACCCAGAGTACACACAGCTGGTCAGACTGACCCAGATATAACACACACACACACACACACACAGATTAAACAGTGACTGGTCTCTTTGTGTTAACCTGTCATACAGTGTTACTCCTTCATATGGCCCAGAACCGCCCAGGTAAGAGCTGTCACAGTGTAGTTCCTGTAGCTCAGCTCCAGGGGGCGTCCACTGCTCACATTTCTTCAGGATAGGAAACGCTGGTCTTATTCTCTCTCTCTCTCTCTGTCATTCATCTGTAAGGTCTCTCTGTCGGAGTACCCCTGTGGGGGGGAACACACCCCGAACCCCATCGCCAGTGCTGTGCCGCTCCCAGCCACGCCCACCTTCACCTCCACCACCCTGCTGACCGCCGTCACCACGGCAACAGAGGCGGGAAACACCATCGCCTTCCTGGGAGACAGAGGGGGGCAACTGCACAAGGTGACAACATAATAAACGATGTTTATTCTTAGCTTAGCTTCACGTTTCAGAGTCGATCCTGAGCTGAGGTTTGAGTCCGGAGCTGTGTCACATGAAGAAGAAAACAGAATCTAGTGTTTACAACATGTTTGTCGTCATGTGAACCAAAGATGTGATCAAACTGTACCCCCCCGCCCCCCCCTTCTCTTATTGCCACCACTGAAGTGCCCTGAAGCAAGGTAGCCCCCCACTGCATCCCCCCAATGCACCCCCCATGAGATTACAACAAACAGCTTGCACAAGTACACACAAAATTACGCTGTGTGTGTGTGTGTGTGTGTGTGTGTGTGCGTGCGTGCGCGTACATATGTGTGTGCACGTTTGTGTGTGTGTGAGAGAGAGATGACTAACAGGCGTATAGCTTGGGGGGGTGTCACAGGGGAGCATGCACAGACCCTTGTTGTTGATTGGTTATTGGTCCCACAGGTGACTGATAACTGTGTGTGTGTGTGTGTGTGTGTGTGTGTGTGGGGGGGGGGGGGGTAATCCTGCCTTGGAGCGTCACTGAGTTAAACAACAGATCTTTGATTCATCTTGTTAATATATAATCACACACTGGCAGCTCAGACTCAGCAGCCGGAGTCAGACCAGTGTGTCTGTGATCCTGTGGTTCTCTGGAAGATCCTGGTTCTACCTGAGAACCACAGAACCAGGATCAGGTCCAGTTCCTCTGAAAACTTCAGGCTGTAGAATCATTGTCTGGGGAAGCAGCGCCATCTGCTGACAGATCATTGCTTTTGTTTTCAACCCTTTCATCTAGGTTCCGCCCATTTGAAGTGCTTCAATCAAAGGTCAGAGGTGAACCTTTTATCATTAACAGCACGTGTGTGTGTGTGTGTGTGTGTTGCAGGTCTTCGTGCGCTTTGATTCGTCAGGTGACCTGTACGACAGTGTGATGGTGGACAGCGGCAGCCCCATCACTGCTGACCTCTTATTGGACGAGAGCCAGCAGCACGTCTATGTTTTGACCAGTAGGAGGGTGAGACAGTGTTTTTGTGTCTGTCGCCTTTTTTCTTCTCGTTAAAATACTGACGTGTTGTTCTTCTGTCTGTCTCTCAGCTGTCGAAGGTCCACGTGTCGTCATGTGAGAAGCAGACAGACTGTCAGACCTGTCTCACTGTCAGAGACCCACACTGTGGCTGGTGTGTCCTGGAGGGAAGGTACCTGTCTGTCTGTTTACTTGTCTGTCTGTACCTTTCTGTCTGTCTGTCTTTCTCATCAGTCTCTTTCTCTCCTTGTGTCCAGATGTTGTCGTAAATATCAGTGTCAGCGCCACCTTCAGTTCAATCATTGGCTCTGGAGCTTCGAACCAACCAATCAGTGTGTAACGGTACAAAGCCTACAGCCAGCCAATCAGAGCAGAGATGAGCAGACACAGGTAAATCATGTTTGTTGGATCGGTTCTATCGATCCATGAGGAAATCCAGGTTTGTTTTCTAACCACTGGGAGCAGACGGAACCTGAACCAGGCGTCTTGGTCTCGGTTCCTCAGAACTATGTGAAATCATGACGACCTGAGTGGCCTGACCTCATCTGATCAGAGCTGTGTTTCTGTCTGTCTCCAAGGTAACGATGTCAGTCATTCAACTTCCCATCCTCGCTGAGGCAGAGTCTCTGTCCTGCGTCTTTGGGCAACTCCCACCACAGCCCGCCATTGTCATGGGAACCAGCATCACCTGTCAGTCACCTTCACCGGAGCTCCTCCCAGACATGCCAGCAAGAAGTGGTGAGTGAGACAGTGAGAGCACTCGGAAAGTAAAAATAATCTCCTTTCATAACTGCTATTCCTTGACCTCGATGGAATACGTCTCAAGGTCAAGGAAAGATGTGAAGGAGAAGCCGTAAGGAGTTAGGAAAGGAGAACCACTGCTCTGAGAAAATCCGACTCCTCTCAAACTTTAAAAAAACCTACTTTATTTATTTATAACAGAAGATATGAACAAAACGTAAAGTACTCTGTGCACCGACAGTTATAATAAAGTTTCCTGTTTAAAACATTTATCATCACTTCTTCACAGGAAATAACAACAAACAGATTTAACAGAAGATGAAAACAAACGTAACGGTCTGACGTTGTTGACGACGTTTGTAAAGTTTGTTGTTGACAGAAGTGAAGAATCACTTCTGTGTCATGAGCTGTTTGGTTTTTTATATTTACGTGGGTGTGTCCAGGTGCAAATACAATGTCGTGTCGCTCAAAATGTTTCTGCTGCAAAGAATTGTGGGGCAGCATTTTCTCCTTTACTTGTGGTCCGATGTTTCCTATGCTAAAGGAGACAACTTAGGAAGCATAGAAGCTCCTTTCCTTGTCCTTTAGAGAATTCAAACAGCTCTTATTATGGCGGTCGCTGAAATACGTCTGGGTCTTTTCACTCAGTTTAGAAGGTTCCTAAGCAAAATGGACTCCTCCAACGCTCCCTTGGTTTGATACTAGTCGTCCTGTGTCCTCTGATCCATGACCTTCTGTCTGTCTGTCTCCAGATCACATGATGCTGCCCGTGTCTCTGAGGTTTGGTGATGTGACGATCACCACAGGTAACATGACCTTCTACGACTGTGAAGCCGTGAGCCGCCTGAACCAGAGCTCCCAGTAAGAAACCACAGTGACGATAACGAACATGATACTGATGATTATTTTGATCTTGATGATGATATTGATGATGTGTCTCCAGGTGTTTGTCCTGCGTCTCCAGTGTGTGGAGGTGTAATTGGTGTCCTCTAGATCAACTCTGCACTCACAACCAGAGCTGTCCGAGCCAACACATCATCCTGACCCAGAGAGTGAGACAGTCTGTCTGTACCTATCTGTCTGTCTCTCCTAAATGGTCTGTGTCTTTCTGTTTGTCTGTAGCTATCTGTCTCACACTCTCTCCTGTCTGTCTCTCTGAAGGACTCCCCTGGTCCCTCTTCGTGTCCTCTGGTCTTCTCTCTGCAGAGTTCTGCCTTAGTGCCTCTGGGCCTGAGCAGCAGTGTTGTGCTACAGGGACGGAACCTGGACGTCTACACGGTGAGAACCATGTTTGTTTGACCTGTCAGAGTCAGAACCGGATCAAAACCAGATTCTGGTCCAGAGGTGAACTCACCATCTGAGTCTTGAATCTGATCTGGATTCAGTCTGGTGTAAATGAGTGTGAGCAGCACCTTAACACTTCACTCTGTGTCTGCAGGACAACGCCCCCTATGTTTGTGTTGTGGAAATACACGGTCTCAAGGTGAACCTGAATGCTGCTGTGGAGAGGACACACAACAACACACACACCTTCACCTGCAGCCCACACCAGGTAACACACACACACACCAGGTAACACACACACACACACACACAC